AGATGTGGGATTAAGGCCAATTCAAATCTAGATTCATGACAAAATCTTAACATTTTTAATTTGATGTTGGAAAATAAATAGTATATTATAATTTTTTTTAGTATTATACCCGTTTTGCCCTTTGGGCTAATTCAGATTCGGGGCTCAGTTCTAGGTGATTAGATTTTAGTCTCCTCCCAATTATTATTGCGGGTGATCAAACACGCAACCCTCCCAACCAAGTACAACCCCAATTAGGGGTGAGCATGGGTCGGGTACCTGTACCGTTAACACTATCGGTTCGGGTACCCGATAACCAATAACACTAAAAATGATATTCATCAACCGAACTTCGGGAACCCGAATTTTCAGATTGGTTATCGGGTACCCAATATGATATCCAATAAAAAAAAACAAAAACAAAAACAAAAACAAAAACTTTATAATATAGTTATTATGATATCATTCAACATTAATTAACAATAATACCACATGATCATGACCAAATTCCTAATAATATTAATAATCATTTAAATTATGAAGTGATTATGAAGTAAAGTAAGAGTTTAGATTTTGGATAAATAGATTTAAGTAGGAAAAAAAAAATTGCTTATCGGATCGGATCGGATAACCATTAATTTTAAAATGATACCCAATAACAAATTATCGAAGCGGGTACCCAAACCATTATGGTTATCGGAACGGGTACCCTAATTTTTGGTTTGATTACGGTTTGGATTTTTGGGTTTTCGATTTTTCTGATAATTTTACTCAACCTTAGCCCCAATCACCACTACACCAACAGTCAATTGGTGTATAATATTATAATCTGAAAGGAATGGTGTCCTTCGAACAAGTGTATTATTCCGATAGAGGGTTCGGAATTATTAGAAAGCTAATTATTCAGTGAGGTCAAGTGATCGGAATGTCTAGCTGGAGGCCGCTTCCGATCACTAATATTAAGGTATAATTAATATTACAGCTTAATCTTGACTGAACCCTTCGAGCCACACCCTAATCGAGTAACCGATCCGAGGCGACGAATCAATCCGAAAGATTAGATGAGTCGTTAGAGTATTACGAACAAAGACGTCGGATATCGAGCTTAGAGCGTCGAAACCGAGCGTCATAAGTCGAATAGAATTTAGAATTCGACGAGACGAGAAATCACGCACACAACAAGTTCAAGCTAAGTCGTAGCTTCGCATTAGCCTAGCCAGAAGGCTAGGCTAGCATACGACACCAACCGCATCGCATGGGTATGCCGCAAGCCAAGCATGCATGTGCGTGCTAGGCTTGCTGGCCGAGCATGCTTGCAAGGTTGGTGCGCCTAGTCGCACGTACGCTAGCTCCAGCATGCATGGCTGGGCTAGTCAAGGCCTTGGCGAAGGTATCTAGCAGCTTGTGCACAAGGGCGAGCATCACCCCTTGCAAGCAACGCACCAGGTGCTAGCGTAGCACGATGGGCATTGCTAGCGAGTGATGAACCCAGCACCAGCCCGCTAGCAAGCGTGGCATGCATGCTGGGCTGCTTGCACTCGTTGCCAAGCAAGCAGCGCCCAGCATAAGCAACTTTGCAACAGCAGCCCGCATGGCATGCGTGGCCTACTTGCTGTGCGTATGCATATGCGGGCTGGTTGGCAAGCCCAGCCATGGTGCTAGGCGCCAACGAGTCAGCCTTGGCAGCCAAGGCAGGCTGCCAGCCAACTCATGCGTGTGCCAGCACATGGTCAAGAGGGGATTGGTTTTGGTGGGTTGCTTGGGAAACAAGGGGAGTTTGCCCCCCCCCCCCCTTGTGGTCCTCACCTAACCCCTTTGCTCATCTCTTGACACTTGGCGTTTGTTGTTTCACTTGCATTACAATTTAATTTTTGAATTATAAATAAATTGAATAAAGTGCATTTTACCAACTCTCCCACATTGATGGGAGATTGGAATTCAAGGCTCTCTTCCCTATAAATACCCATCATTTGGGATTGGGAAGGAAATCTTAAGTTGTGAATTTTAAGGGATCTCCAAGAAGAGAATACCTTAATTCTAATACTCTAAGTTTTCTTGGTCTATCCCTGACTAAGCTTCGAGGTAGGGACCGTTCAGGTCGTGTCTCGAGGGTGAGAGCCGTTGGAGGATTACGCATTTGCAGAGCTAACGCTTTCAAGTACGAGCTCTAAGAAAGAGCGAAGCACGCATCAAGGGTAAGATCGTCTTTTCTTCTTTCTCTCTCCTAGTTAATTAATTATGTGATTGTTAATTAATTAATATGCATGTTTAGTTACTTTAATTTGTGTGCGATTTTGAGAGGGTTTCATTCCGCGTAGTGTCTGACACTACGAAACCCAACACAATCTAATTAGCTTAAATGCGACTTCTAAAATACATTGTTAAGAAAATATCATATGTGACAAAATCATTCTCATCTACTCCCTTTATTCCAATATAGTTTGTCCCTTTTTTTTCCCTTTGTTGCCCCAATTTAATTTGTCTTTCCTAATTTTAGTAAGAGCTCACTATTTTTTAAACAATTTTTCCTTTCCACTGCTAGGGCCTAATACACCATCGTATTTTATTTTTTATTTAATTTTTTTTTTTTTAAAAAGCATTATATCTCCAGCATAGTAAATTGAGATGGAGGGTGTACTTTGTGTTATTAAGAAAATTAATAAAACAAAATTAACATACAATAAGGTTCCCTCTAGGTTTTCTCCTTGAGAGGGTTTTTTGGTTCCCTTTAGGGCTTGCTTCTGGGCTCTTCAGGCTGCTAGGCGGATGGGTTTCTTGTGTCCCTTACTCTACACGGACAGCACAGTTCTAGTTTCCATACTATGTCGTTCCTGCTCGGATGATATTTCTTGTGTTTGGTTGTCAGGGGCTATTAGAGACATTCCATTACAATTCGATTCCTGTTGGATTCGTAAGGTCCCTCGTGTCTGGATTGCTCCTGCTCACTGGTTGGTTGTTCGTGCTCGTCAACGTCGTTTACTTTTCTAGTCCTTTTAATTGTTGTTATGTTATGTTCTGTTTTTTAGCTTCCTTAGTCGTCTTGTGTTTTCTTGATATACATTGTGAAACAAATATGTTCACATTTATTTGTTAATTATAAGGAAATCTACAATAACAATACCGACGTGATTAATTAATTCATATATGAATGTCTTATTAAAGTATAAATTAAAGATTTCTCAATCAATAGATGACATCCACTTTAATCTAAAAACAACAGATATTCTGAATTTATTTTTCAAAAGCTCTCTCTAATACGTAGAACTACAAAATATAATATCGGCCATAGGCGCATCTTAACTATTTTTGTGCGCACCTTCTAATTTTAAATTTGGCTTCTTCATTATGATATTTATGAATGATGAAAGCACTATAATTCAAAACCAGACACTAGCTATATCTTACTTATATTTTAATATTCCAAATTGCAATTTGCAAATATTGCAATCATATATAAGTTACTTTATTGTCTAAATATTTTTGTCATAAGATATACTTTTTCCATTTTGTGTATGTTGGTTTGATTAAACTTTAAAGTATATATATAGCGAGTATACTAGTACACAAGATTAGAGATTAATTCTCGTTCACGTTATTGATCTTTATGTCTCACTTTGTAAATGAACATTATTCTTTTATTTTTATTTTCAGTTTACATATTAACCTTTTGCCCTATTTATTCAACTAATTTTGAATGCGTTTATAAACTAAATATTATCATGCTATTGATTTTGTCTCAATGTATATTCTAATTGAAGTTTTACTTATTAGCTATTTATAATTTTCTTTATAAGCAAAAAAATAATTAATGGTCAATAATCTCAATATCTTGTCCTAAACAATCATTAAGATTGAACTTAAAAAGAACAAAGAAAATATCTCCTAATAATGTACCTTTTCCAAAATGTCTAAATCAAACTTAAATAATTCATAGTTTCATTTAAATCAACATAATAGAATTTTATGTTATTCACTTGAATAGGGACATAACATTCATATACTCTCTTCATACATGTGTGTTGGGGCAAGTGGATTATATATACATCCAAGACAGCCGAATTATTGGACCCATGAAATTGTCCCGTTAAAGAACTTGGGTTGTCTAATTCTTTTCGTGACTGTTTCTTACTAACTTGGGCGGTTATTGTGGACCATCGCTACTTAATACCAATGAGCCAATGAGCAACACCATAATTAGTAAATACCCTGGCTAATGGCTATGGCCATGTAACGACAAAAACTCATTTTCAGTTCGTGTTTGGGTTAGGTCATATCTTCTTGATCTATTATTCGAGTAACTTATTGTAGTATTGTACGCAAATATAGATTTTATATTTCAATATTTATTTATATTATCCAGTGAGGTCGATTCGAGTTGAGTCATAGTCAAATTGAAATTAGTTGTGGTCTTGTGGACATGTGCCGTGGGGCCGAGGCACAAATGTCCATAATTAGCTCAAGTAGATTTGCGTGATTTAATTGTTGATCAGCCAAGTACAACTCTCCCAAGTTTTAACCAAACTACCAAAGTTAGTGAAGCATTTCAACTATGGAGTAAGTAGTTGTTTAGATTTTAATAGTAATTGAACAAATTTAGGTCCCACAAATATTTGTTTCTAGATTGGGCTTAGCATAATGGGCTTTTCATGTTTATCACGTACTTACAATACAAAGTGTTAGATTGGACATTGAAATTATTAAGGGACATGGTTGGGAACAAAACTACTCCGTATTTGTTTGCTCTTTATGTCCAAGCATATCTTTACTGTCTCAAGTGTCATGTCTTTACTACTCGACTGCTCGTATTGTTTTATACAATTTTACTTCATAGTTTTTATGGGTGTTGTCCCTTTTCCGAAGCTGATTGTCACATTATTCGAATTTTTTGTACTCCTGTATTATAAATAATCTAAGTGCTAGGGAGTACAAAAGACTAGCTATAATATTTACAGTGTTGGAATTATTGGACATATTATGTACATTAAGGATTTCAATACGTCATTTAATTCGGCATTTTAAACTTCAAAATAAAGTATTATTATATTGAAAATCAGAAATACTGCAATTAAACAGTATAGCTAGTATGAGCATTATATTTTCCAATACTTTTTCAATTGTTCAAAAGAACAAATACGAACCAAACTAATGTAAAACCACACTTCATGTACACTTCTTTTTTTTTAATGAACCTATGATTCTATGTATTGCATCATATCAACAATCAATCACCTTAAATCAACACTTGCAACTGAATGTGAGTTATACCTAAATTTCCTTAAATAATACTCCATAACTTATACTAAGATTTATTTTGCTATGTCAATGTGAAGAGAAAGCTTATGTATGAGGTCATCACCAATGTGTAGAGTATGTTCACCCACTGGAATCCTTCTTACCCCAAACTCATCAGCTCTACTAAGATGCTTACAAACATGTATGTTCATTTTTACGCGTTGCTTGGAACCCGCCAACACATGGATCCTCTTAAACCCGATAAGTTGCTTCTCGGGTGACTTGATCCCCTCGGGTGGGGTAGAGAACACGAGGACCGTGTGTGACCCGTCAACCTTGCCCTTGTTCTTCACATCAATGTGGAGGTCTAGGGAGGGTGCATTGTCACATTGTGTATGTAACACTTTTATAGCATTCTTGTTAAATGAGGTCATATTTGAATTGATGTATTGGTTGGCTAGGGGTACCATGACCTTGGTAGGTGCTTGGGCCAGTGATTGGGTGAACCGGGTGTAACTTAGCCCAAATCCGAATGGGAACACAACCGGACCCTTATAGAAACGGTAAGTCCGGCCCGGGTATCCATTTGATGAGCTAGCCCTCATTGCTAGGTCAGTCATTGCAATCTTTGACACATAGCTTTGGGGGTACCATGTATTTGGTAACTTTCCTCCTATAAAAAAGTATTGTAACATAAATATTAGAACAATAATATTTAGCATAATAAAAAAATTACTTCTAACTTTTTGTAATTATTAATTACCTGGATTAGTGGTACCAAAGATGACATCAGCAATAGCGGTCCCACCAGCTTGACCCGGATAACCAACCCATATAATGGCACCAATCTTTGGGTCATTTTTAGCAAAGGTGACATCCACAGGCCCACCACACATTAAGACCAAAATAGTTGGGCCTCTTGAGGCCAAGGCCACCTTTGAAATTAATTCTTGTTGGTGGCCCGGTAAAAGGACCGATGTTCGGTCACGAGCTTCGGCCTCAATAGATTGGTCCAGGCCCATTACCAGAACTGTTGCATCAGCATGAGCTGCTGCTCCTATTGCTGCACCAAATTGTTGATTGCTAGTACAAGCAACACCTATGCATCCTGCTTGGTGGATTGTTCTAGCATACCTTGCTATGCCTTGTACAGGTGATGTGTATCCACATGCCACACCTAGAGTAACATCAACCACATTAGTAATAAACTTTTCTGTTACAAAACACGGAGTGTTTTTTTTTTTTTTTTTTTTTTTTGGGCCGAAAATATACGAGTAGTAAAAAAAAACTTACCGGCGTAATTACCGATCATGGTGACCGTGGCATCGGCATTAGGCCCAATAACGGCAATAGTATGGTGGCGAATAGTGGACAAGGGTAGAGATCGGGCCCGGTTTTGGAGAAGAACAATCCCTTGACGGGCTGCCTGGAGGGCTAGATCTTGATGGGCTGGACTACAGACATCTCTTGGGCCTAAGTGTGCAAATGGTTGGGCTGATGGTTCACCATCAAACATGCCTAGTCTCATTTGGACTGTTAAGGTGTTGGTTAAGGCATTGTTCACATCAGCCTCGGTTAATAATCCTCTAGCTACGGCCGCTTCGGTGTGGACTGCTAAAAAGGGCCCACAGTCCAAGTCCAAACCTATAAACAACATCAATTTTTAGTACTTGTAAAAATTTTAAGTGTTTGAAATGTACGCAATCTTTTATCTACGGTTATTACTAACCTGCTTTGATAGAATCGGCTGCTGATTCCTCGGGAGTCTTGGTGTAATGTTGATCATCATACATTACACCAACGGAATCACAATCAGATACGATATACCTAACCCAAAAAAAAAAAAAAATGTATAATTAGAACCCAGGCCATGATTATTGACGAAAAATAAGATTAGAAGAAATGAAAATTTTAACAAAATTCATTAAGCTTACCCGTTGAGGCGCCATTGGCCACGAATAGTGTTGCGAAGAAGATCAGGATCAGCACAAGTAGGCTTGCCATTAACTTGGTTGTATGAGCACATCACACTAGCAACTCTTCCCTCTTGTACACAAGCCTTGAAGGGCACATTATATGTGTCTTCCAAATCTTGCTTGCTCACCTACGCACCAATTATTTATTTTTGTTACAAATCTTTAGATTATAGCATGTACAATTAAATTTTTAATATATGCGTTCAATAATTAATGTTTATATTTATTTATTTAAGGAATAGGTTGACATTCAGAATATTTGTCTTAGGAGTCAAAACGACTCAAAACAAGATGTTGTATCTTATTAAATATAGTATTGAAAGTTTGAAACACACATAAACATTTAACACTACTAGGCTACTAGCTTATCAAAATTTATTATGATATCTTTTGAAATATTAAATTGGAGGCTATTTTAAAAAATTTGACGTCTATAATTGTCACTAAGTCACTTATTATACTAAGGTGACCATTGAACAAGTATCACCAAATTTAAATGAAAAAAAAAAGGACCATCGAACAAAATTTGCTGTTTGCACATGGTATAATAAGATTAATAACGCTAGATTTTTGTGTTGGAAAATTGTGGATGTAAATAATTCCACTAAGATTAGTCCTAGCTAAAGCCTTCGACATCATAGGCAAGAACAATCAATGAAGTTATGGTTTTAGATAAACTTGGTTACAATAAATTCCTCTTAATTTGGTTGTTTAGGTTCTATTATTAATAATCAATAAAAGATTGTCAAAGTTTTAATGAACAAATGTTGCGTGCAAGAAATTGTACCTAGGTTAGCCTCAATATCAAAATCAATCATACATCCAACTATCTAAATTCCTTTTCATTTGATTTATAATTCTACAACATGCAATTTATAATCAACTCTTATATTATTAAAGTTTTCATATGTCATTTTCCATATCAATAACGTAATTACGTAAGAAAATTCTTATCCAATATATTATGGCAATGTCTTAGATAATTTCAAGTACTTGTAACATTTGTGCCACAGTGAATGGAACTCACTATTGTTGTGTGCTTGTGTCTTGACCTATAAATCTAGATACTGTTGCATTAGATATTGTGCTTGTACATATGTATCCAAAATCCTAATGATGGTGACATAATTTTCACTAAATAAACCAATTTTAAAATAGTCGTCAAACACTTTTTTTTATACTCCGTGTATTGAAGGATTGTGTCTAACTCTATAGCACAATTTGTAAACTGTAAAGAAAATTACATTTTATTAGCGCATTTTATAAACACGCTCTACATGTAGGTTGCACACTTTTAATGTGTGCATGAGTACATGACACACTATGTCAAGTGTAAAAATCGAATGTTATCATGTTCAATATTTTGTTAATACTTCTTTTTCATAGGATTAAAAAAAAAAAAAAGAGATTTCAAAGTGTAATTATTGAATGTAACCACTCAATGACTTTTACCAACTAAAACGAACTAAAAAAATAAAATTAATTAATTAAAGGGACCACAAAAATAAAAGGAAGGAGACAACAAAACGTTTTAATAAACTATCTCGTCGTTCAGATTTAGTTATCATATTATTATTATTAATTCCGAACAATAATGATTATAACAAGATTAAGACGACGTGAGTGTAAGAAAAAGGCGGCTTACCCGAGCATTAAAGTGGAAGCGATCAACACCATTCCAATTGTCAAGATCATAAGCAGTGTAATGCTTGCAACAAGCAGCAACCTTCAAACGATTCTTGTTGTAATCACCTTGAAGACCTCGAACATAACTAGAAGCATAATGAGAGGCTAAAGTGGGGTCCTCTCCAGGAGTTTCTTGACCTCTACCCCATCTTGGGTCACGAAATATGTTCACATTTGGACTCCAATATGTTAATCCTGCTGTTCCTCCATTATACATTGCTCTTGCTTCATCTGACACTACCTATTTTTTTATCAACAATTTCATTATCATTAGCAATTTTCAAAATATACATTAACCAAAAATTTGTCACCTTAATTTTGGACTTTTTTGTTTGGTTGCTACCTTGTTCATCACGTACATATTACATACTACGGAGTAAGTATTTACAAAGTATATGTCGTTAAAATGTTAAAGCACACGCCTTTTGAGTTCATATATACTCTGCTTTTACTAAAAAAAAGTCAATAATATATTTATAGTGACAACTTTGAAAAAACGAAGTTTTAACATGTTTTAACCGTGCGTATATAGACGTGGTCACGTGGAAGGTCGACAATATGAAATGAAGGAAATAATCGAATGTTTGCTGTAACTTTCAATTATTGTCTTTTTCTCTTGTATTATATAAGCAAGTGTACATTAATTACATTAATCGAACAAGAAATAATCATGCCTCGGTGCATCTAACTAAAAAGTAATTATAGATTATATTTTCTGCTTATAGGTGATTAGCAACAAGCTAGAGAAACAAAAGGAATTAGTAAAAAAAAAAAAAAAAAATATTAAAGAGAAATAAAGGCATGAAAGAGAAAATTCTACCTAACTATACATACAAGTACTAAAAAAACACCATGACTATGAGTTGTTGAAAAAGCATGAAATTAAACACAAAATTATTCAATCAGAAAGAATATTATGGAGCAACATAATTTTTAAAGAATTGATTGGTAAAAGCACCCCAATATAACATTTTAAAATCGATAAAAAGGATAAGTTAAGCATGCAAATTGTATACTCATAAATTCATAATGAGTACTCAGTAACACATGCCAGCCACTATTGCCAATTTGAGGCCAAAAAATAGGTGCAAATAAACAATCTAATTATTCTAACTGTCAAAACTTGCGTTATACTATCGACAAAAACTAATAATAATAAATAATACCTTCATTTTATATTTTTTATAATTTTAGAATATTATTTATGAGATATAAAATATTCTAAAGTTATAAAAAATATAAAACGAAGGTAGTTAAAACTTTGTCTTACACTTAAAAGTGCAATATTACAACGGCGGTTTCAGAAATATATTTTGCGTAGTTAAAAATAATGGATAAACTTTTCCGAAAATTTCAGTGTCACAAAGAAAATTTGTAAATTTAAGTGGGGTCAATCCGACTTTAGCTTACAATTGGCAATGTAGCGCCAATATACACGAAGTATAAAGTATTGTGAAAAGACGAAAATACTCTTATGAAAAATTAATTGTGTGATCACGACTAGAGCTAAATTATGAGCAAGGCCAATGGACAAGTTTCGTGAGTCACGAGCTCTATTTTTTTTTCCTCTGTTTTGACCACTAATATAATTCTCAGCTAACTTAGCATGTTTGTCGTTAATTATTTACCACAACCACTCACTTTTTAATGTGGATTACGTGACTGCATGTTTCTGTTGCAATTATTTTTCTAATTTTCTTATATACTACGAGTACTTCGTAAATTGTACGTAATTTAATCAAATGTCTAAATTTTATGAAGTACTCTGTACTATTGAAAAATTATATGGTACTCATATATATATATATTAAAATTATATACGAAGTACTTCTTATATACTGTATATATATAAAAAATTATCACTACATAGTAGTATAGTTACGTTGATCGTAATTTTTTCTAACTTTTTTGAATTAAGTTTAGAGATACCTTCATTTTATTGTGAAGTTGACTGTACTGTCTAATCTACTAACATACCTAAAGTAGATGTAATTAATAGTTGGTTATTTGTGTATTAATTATAAAATTATGTTATTTTTGTCTTTAAATCTATATCAATATGTACACCAAAATTATGATAAAAAAAACTCAGTTCACGAAAGAAATTACTATGTATCATAACAAAGACCAATAAATTATAAACAGACTAACTTTTTTTTTTTTTTTTTTTTTTTCAAATGATGAGCAAATAGTATAGTATAAACACATTCGTGGACCCCTTATAACAATGGAGTATTTTTCAATTATAGGACTTTATGTAGTTAAGCAAACTATACTCTTTAAATAAGGAAGAAAAAACAAAAAAACCATCGTATGTATCTCACCTTTCCTATAGCTTCCCAAAGAGAGGCATTGAAGGAAGCAGCAGTGGTGATGACTTGAGGGAAGCTGGTGGCAGCCGGAAAGACACCGCGGAACTTTGTCCCAGGTCCTACGTTGGAAACTCCATGTAACGCCTCCGACCACCACTCATACCCACCTATTCCTAGGCGCGGCACAGGTGCCGCATTGTTCACTAGTAGTTTCACCTTCTCCTGCAAGTTCAACCTCCCGATAAGGTCTTGGACCCTGGCACGTATCGGGAGGTTGACCCTGCAGAAGCGCAGGGTCCGAGTTAGCCCGTTCTTTGGTTCACATGCCAATGGGGCTGCTCGGACCTCTGCGCTACAAATAAAAAGAAGTAACACAAGGAAGTAAAAATTATTACGAGACGACATAATAATTCTTTTTATTATTATTGGTTTGTGGATAAGAAAAATAATTATTACAGAGTATTATCGTGTGTTTGTGAGGAATCGTAGCGAAAATGAGAGGGGTATTTATAGGGAAGCGAAGGTAGCGTAAAGATATAGAGGAAATGATGTTTAAGTAGCTGGTTCATGGGTTGGATTTCCACGTCTTTGTGATAGTATTAGAAATATCAATCAAGGGTTAAGTAAATTTTGCAAGTTGTAAAATTTGAGAGAAAACAAAGGAAGAGGAGAGAGAAAATTAGTGATTTTTTAGTGAGTGAGACAGTATGACACGCACTTAGCAGTTGCGATTTTTTTTTTTTTTTTTTTGTAGGAGGAAATTGAACTTTTGCAGTCCAATGGAATAGTGATGAGGATATTATTTCTAATTCAGAAAAAAAATTACAAGAAGTATTGATACAATTGTCAATACTGGTCCCAATTTTTGGAGAATTATTATCCTTTAGATGTTATTTTTGGCTTATAGATTATACAATATCATTTATGGATATTTCGTTTATTCAAGATTCATCATCAATTGACTAAAAAAGGGAACTTGTTGGATAAATTTGCTCATATGATGAGCATTTTATACTGATATAGTAACCTAAATAGCGTATTGTATCGTAAGCAATCGCTCATATTCTAGTCTAGTACTACTACGTTACAAAGTTCATAAATTTCGTCAAAGGTCATTTAAAATTTAACGTGCATGCTCTATATTACTCCGTAAAAAAAAATAAAAAAATAAATTGTAGGGATATGATGACATGATAAAGCTAAGTATATTTTCCTTGCTCGGAAAAAAAACAATTAAAAAGATGAGTATTGATTGATAAAACCCTATTTATATTTGGACTCAAACAGCTCATTAATTTTTTACCTAACCTAATTCAGCTCATTTTAGACCATATGTACTATACAATGTATTTTAAGTAATGAAATGAGTTATAATAATGCAAACTTTAATTTCCTACGACATTATTACAGATCCATCTACTACTCCCTTTATTCTAGAATATTCTTTACACTTTTCTTTTAATATGTTGTAAATTATTCTTACACTTTCATTTTAGAATGACTCACCAAACCCCTTTCTTTCTATTAACACAAATGTTTATACATCGTTACTTTATAGTATATATGTAATGACACATAGTTATTGTATCATACACAAGTTTAGAAAGAGCATGTAAACTTCTTTTTACCAATAGGTAAATATGCAGATCTTAATTCGATCTAAACATTTTACATCGTTCAACTCAATTTAAATCACTACGAGCTAGTAAATTTGAAAATAACAAACCAAAACCGTAAATCGTAAATCATCCCGCCGTTAAGTAGTGAACAAGTCTAAGGAAAACTAGGGGTACGTTATTATTTTTATCAAATGGGGTGATGTTCACGGACGAGAAATTGCGAGCATCTTAATTTCAATTGGTAATGACGGCTACTATTGACTAAACACTCCTAGCTAGATAGTCCGTAATTAATATTCTTGCATATAATTTGACAATTAGACCATCCCTCTCTATTTAATTACATATACTTTGTATTTGCATAAAAAAATAAAAATATTATTACATATACTTTGTATGATGACTAGATTATTGTTATTATGATAAGATAATGTATATTTATTCCTTGCCTAACTGTGTTAATCAAATTTTTGCTGCCTAAAATTAGTTCTTTGGAATATATGTTAATGTCACGAATGTTATCATCAATTTGAATCCACTTTAATTTCTTGTCAATAGATATGGATGAATATATGTATGTCAAGCTGACAATTTAGACAAAAAAAAAACAAAAAAAAAAACAGAGGAAATACTTTCACTTAGCTTCCATTATAATTAGAGGTCCAAATTAGAACTTTATATAGCTAGAGTTAGAAATCATGTAGCTCAAAGTTTTGTTCTTTTTACCGTACATTGTAATCTCTTTCCTTATTCTTGTATAAAGCATACTCCGTATTATACTAGACCAGATTTTTTTTTTTATTATTATTACAAGTATTCAATTTCTCTAATTCTTTGCTTATCACAAAAACAATGAAAATCAATTAATCAAATATATTTATTTTTGTATGAAATGAAAATCAAATAGTTGAAAAACTACATATGACTACAAATTTAATATAAACTCCGATGGTAATAATTTTTTAGGTGTTACTTCATATTTTAGCAAAATAAATGTGTACCTCACACAATACTCCGGAGTATTAGTTAAAGTTTGGTAAAACATTTAGATAAAAAAAAAAAAATTAACCGTATTTTAGATGAAGAGAACATAGGCTCGTACAATATCTTTTCACGAGTGATTACGAAGCATTCTTCATCACAATTATAAGACAAAAATGCAACGAACAATTAGTGGTTGAGAAGTTCAATCTTAGGCGTAGAGTATTATTGGTGAATTAAATTAAGCTTTAACGGGCCGTTTGGAATGTGAGAATGGGAGTTTGAGGATTAAAATGTGGGAATGAGATTGAAAATTGATTGTTAGGAATATATAAATTATGACAATACTTTGTTTGAGTAGTAGATGGCAATAGATGGGGAATAAATAACAAAAATACAATATTATCCTTACTAATCTTTCTCCTCCATTCTTTTCATTAATGACAAAAAGGTCATTTTTCACTTATTCTCATTCTCATCCATTTATTACCTACCCTGCATATGTAATAAATTGGTGGAAATTCACCCCATTTATTCCCAATTCCATTTCCTTCTTTATTCTCAATCTCATTTAACAAACAAGAGATTTTTTTTTTTTTTTTTTTTTTATTTGGAATTAAAAGTCTCATTCCCACCCTCAATTCCCATTTACCAAACACCCCCTAAAAGTGATGAAACAGCCAAAAAGTTGAGGCACAATTCACCATTGTTGATTTCGCAAAAATTCAAGATAATAATTTATCAGAGTTGGTAATTTTTTTGTAAGCACGTGAAATTTGGTCGCTCCAAAACAAATTTCTATCACGGCTTTTACTTGTTTTTTTTTCTTACTGACTTTCTAAGTTTGTACATTCTAGCCATTCAACTCCTTTTAACTCTCATGGTAATTTTACTAATTTATAAGTCTGACAAATGTGAGAATGACATCACATACACAAACTAATCAAAATATACATTATTTAAGCTTTAAAAAAATTGTTTAAAAAATTCGTCTAAATTTACCTTAAATAACAATAGAATCGGAAAAGTACTTTTTTTGTCCTTAAATACCACTATACGAGTATTATTGTATGTATATATTTAAGCGGTCGTACATAACTCAATTCCAACAAACATTTACTAAGTACTATTACTTCGTACTTTGTATTTATCTTTTAATAGATAGAAAGAATTGTCTTACTTTAGCTGCTTGAAACTTTAAAAATTAAGGGAGGAGGAGGAGGGGGGGGGGGGGGGGGGGGGAGGCCGGGAGGGTAGGACTACCAGACTAGGGATCCCGTACCCTCAAAGTACTACGAGTGGGAATGCGTATAACAAATACTCATGTAACATATTTGCTTATAAATTAAGCTAGGCTTGGCAAACTTTAATTGAAATTAGGAATATGCAGTCAACCACTACTACCAATTGATCGAACTAAGCATACATGCCATTAATATCAAGTGGGACAATTAGCGTCAAGTGGTTGAAAGATAAGATGGGATATATAGGCCAATAATTTGCTCTATATGCATTCTAATTTCTATTCTATGTTTTATAAAATGAAGTCCCTTAAACTTTTATGCATATAAAAATCAAATGATGGTCTTTTATTTTCTTTATTTTCCTCACATACCTTTTAAAGGTCTAACTTAATGTCTACTCTAGTCTTAGGTACGAATTAATATTCGAAGGGGATAAAAACTCTAAAACTTCTTTGGTAAACTCATTCTGTTTTCCTCAAGTTGGTTGCGCATCAAAATCAACCGGTAAATCATGGGAATCATGAAACTTTTAATTAATTACCTCATCATTCAATTGTTATGGGAGGCAGGCTATACTTGTACATAAGCTTTTATAAGTCTTTTGGGTTATTTTTTTTTTCTTTTATCAAACGTAGGTTATAGGCCGGCAATTGCCTAGAGAAATTACCATGATAACCAACGTAGCAAAACCTACCTCAATCTTTTTCTATCCATGAGAGTCGTGACCACACAAAGCTATTTGAAAATATTTAACTTAGTGATATTATTGATAATATTGCACCATACATGTCGACTTTTACATTATTTACACGCTCTAATTTCACCATTTAATATAATTTATATTTAGAAGTAATAAAATAATAAAAAGAATTCTATTAGGTTTTCTCAAAAATAAAAAAAATTAGGAATAATAGCACAGAAAATTTGCGAATCTTAGCTTAATAAAAAAAGTTGTTTATCCAAATTAAAGCTAAACAGTACTTAATGTTTGTGATCTTTTGTTATAATAATTGTTGCTTTAAAAAGTGGTCAAGTAAAGTTTGTTCATTTGGACTAATGACAACAGGTAATGAAAGGAAGAGAGAAATGTGGTCATTATTTAAGGCATTATGGACCTATTGGAATTGGATATTTATTTTGACAAATGTTATCTTTTGATCCAAATGAATAATCGACGTGAGCCGCCGTTTTTTTTTTTTTTTTTTTTTTTGTAAAAATTAAATTAAAATAACCTTGTTATCGCTTTCATATTGAAAGTAAAAGTTAATTGAAAAAGTTACTACATAGGTACTCCATACTCGTACATGCATTTCAACATTTGTGCTTTGAGGATCAAGTAGGAGTGGAGGGATGGTTAGTCCCTTCATATCCCCTCATTTCAATTAGTGGGAGGGTTCGATCATCACCCTCCTTTCTGTGATAGTAAGAACCCTCGTATCTTACAGGTTTTTTTTTTTTTGTTAGTCCCTCCATATCCCCTCATTTCTATTAGTGGGAGGGTTCGATCTTTCTGTGATAGTAAGAACCCTCGTATCTTACTGTTTTTTTTAAAAAAAAAAAAAAATTAACCTCACTTTAACTCCAGTCGCTAACCTTTGTCTCAGCTATCTTGACATAATTAGATTAGGTCCCGTGCCATGCACGGTAATTT